CCGAGGGATCATCCGGCAGGCGTTGCAGGCTGGTGACTGGCTTAGGCCGTCTTCGACGTGGTCCGGCCCCAGGCACTGGAAGCACAGGCGGTGCGTATCAGCCCCCGCGATCAGTCCAGGGCATGTCGGGCAGGTCCGGGGCTCAAGGAGTGGTGAGTCCACTTTTCTTCTCTTTCCCTATTCACGTCTTTGCTCAGTATTCACTTCCGCTCGCTGAAGAGAAAGGATGATGGTCAGGAGGCGAGGCCTCCTTTTATAAGGAGGTGAGATGCGCGCGCATTCAGGTAGGCCCGCCCCGGAGCCGGCTACGTCTAGAGAAATCTCAGTAGGTGAATGCTTGCATGATAAGGTAGTACCCATAGAGTCCAGTAGAGGGCAGAGCCTGTGAGAGATATAACATCTGTTAAAAATCTGTTTTTATTCAAAAGTACAGGCTGTTATGTGTTCTCAGCCTTGGAGAAACTTGACATGTTTTGGTATGTGTGTGAACCTCTCTTTAGTGGTTCATTATTAAAACAGATATTTGAACGTGTGCCTACTTTGTTCATGTACGGTTGAGGTTAATTTCAGTAGTTGTGTGCTATAATGTATTTACAAAGTGTGAAGAGGAGGCAACTTTAGAATAGGGAACCTGTTCAGGTCAATTAGAGTCAAACGACTAGCTTATTGGTTATGAACAATACTTCACTTTAGAATAGGGAACATGTTCTTAGATATAAATACCTAATTTTGAGTTATTTAGACACAATTAACACTTATAGTTTAATGTCTTGTTACGTAAGAATAGGTCATATTTGTTAAGTGTTATTATGGGAGAATTACTATTCTTGTGGTACTACTGCCTTATTAGGCCCAGTGATTCCCACAGCATGTTAATACTTTGGGGGGCCCCCAAAGTATAATGGCTCCCCCCAAAGTATAATTTGTGTGTTTTTTGGTTTTTTTTACTCAGTGAGCACTCATTTGCATTTGCATTGGTGGCAATGAGTGCTCAGTGAGTAAAAAAAACTTAAAAAAACATAAATTATACTTTGGGGGGAGCCACCCATAAATTATACTTTGGGGGGAGCCATTATACTGGTAAACAACCTCTATGGGCGCGAGTGGGGTGGGCGATATTGAAAAATATGTTATGACGATATTTTCAAGCAGTATCACGATAGACGATATATATCACGATATTTTTTCATGTCGGTTATTATGGTTATTTTTCAAGTTACTTAACAGTACAAGCACCTACAACAGGGGTGCCCAACCTTTTTTTAACCGAGAGCTACTTTTAAAGTTGCCAGTCTGCCGAGATCTACCAGTCCAAATAGAGAGGCGTAGCCATTACTGACAGCCTACTACCAGGTAAATACACACTTCTACTTGTATAAAACTGACCTTTGTACGATGAATACTTCATAAAATACTGCAGATCCTTTATCTTCCCTCTTTCTAATCTACACACATACAAGTATTTAACTGAAGCTACACAACAGTGTTGTTGATACAGAGTTTATTCACACGTCACTACAGTGGGTAATGTTTTCAAGAAACATTGAACAGTGCTGCCACATATGACACAGGGAAAAAGAAAAGACTCTGAACCCTTTCTTTGCCATTATATAAACATAGTGTTGCTACAAAAGTATAAATGAGGCTTACTAATAAGACAACTCAGATCTGAAGCTGCACAGGAATCTGCTGCCAAAGTGCAATAAAAGAGACAACATTAATAGAATCAAACCTTTTTTTGTTGCATTTTAGTCGAGTATAAAAATAAATGCCTTTAAAATAGGATGCAAGCAACACTAGTTTCTTAACCTGAATTGATAATAGACTATAATCAATTTAAACAGAACAGATCTTAATGTTTTCATTCTTATACCATTTTGTACAATAATTATCATGAATAAGTTCAAACAAACTAAAACTTACAGCTGATTAATAACGGTATCTAACTTGAGTTTTTATTATATCAAAAACCTGTTGAAATGCTCGTTATTTTTACTGTCCCGCAAAAGCGCGTCGGCAGCCTCCAGGAATGCTTCTTTCACAACTTCGCCGTCTTTGAAAGACTTCGTGTTTCGCAAGAACGTGCCTGACACGATAAGATGCTATGGTAGCAGCCTTGCTCTTGTTGTTGGGCCTGGTGGAAATAGACTGCTGTGCATTTAGCTGTCCTTTCAGGACGGTCCCCTTTTGGAGCGTAGGGCAGAATGAGTAGCGTTTGTGCACTGTTTTGAAATGCCGCTCCTAAATTACCCTTCTTCGATAAAGCCACGCTCGCATTGCAGATGAGACAGATGGACTTTGAATTGGAATAGATACAAAAATAATCATCCTCCCACTCGGAGTGAAAATTATATATTTTGGCCTTTTTTGCTTCTGCCATAATTGCGGTCTTGTGTGTGTGCGGACTGTCACTCCTGTTGACACGGACAACGTCAGCGAAATAGTGCCCACTGCTCACCAGCCACGCCCCGACACATGGGGTCACGCCGGCCAATCACAAAGCTTTGATGCGTTCAAGTGCATTATTCTGGCACGGGAAGATTAAGTTATAGGACATTAACGATAAAACAGAATGTTGTTCTATTTTTAGACACATCTCGCGATCGACTGGGAATCTCCCCGCGATCGACCGGTCGATCGCGATCGACTGGTTGGGCACCCCTGACCTACAAGGTAACAGAAACTAAAACAAAAAGGAGTAACAGACCAAAATAGCATTTCAAGCTGGTTTTATTTCTGAAATGAACAAGTGAGCAGTGAACATCAATAAACATGAACATCAATAAACATATTATTATTATATAACAAATATAAGCCAACAGAATCAAACAAGAATCAATAAATAAAGTGCAAAACTGTCTGAATCCTGACCAGGAAAAATATTTTCGACTGGGCACCTGGTACCGTGGGTCAACTGTTTTCATCAGCCTCACGAAACCTTTGTTTTCCACGCTCTGTATTGGTTGCATATCTTTGGCCACATAAAACGCCACCGCGTCAGTTATGTCTTTCCACCGTTTGCTAGTCTTTTCATAAGGAGCCCCTTTATGAAATGCCTGACCTATGGTAGTTTGTTTTGGTGCAGTCGCTGCGGTAGATTGTGCATTCACACGCGGGGGACCTTGCACTCTTACAGTCTCTGCATGCTCTTTCTGGTGCTTGCGTTTGAGGTGGTTTCGTAAGCCCGACGTGTTGCCATATGTCGCTTTGAAATGTCCTTGTTTGCACATTTTGCAAATGACATTTGTTTGCTCCGTGTCTGTTGTCTTATAGCCAAAATACTTCCATACCACAGACGTAGAGTTCTTTTTGGGGACTAAATCTAATTGTTCTACATCAGAATCTGACTCTCCGTCCATTATTGCTGTGTGTGCAGACTGTCAACAGTGTATTTTCCCGCTGCAAAGAAAGGGGGCGGGGACTTTGGGAGCGTGTCAAACAACTCGGACTGAACGAAAGCAGAGGTGCGCTGACATTGTGAAATCGATCGGGCTTGATATATGGTGAAATTAAAATCAGTAGGTGAGGCTGGGGGAGCGGGAGGGTAAGAGGCTCTCCGTCCGCTGTCATAGCCCCCTGCGCCGCACACGGAGAGCCTCTTCCCCTCCCGCTATTTTTTTTTTTCTTCAATTATTATTTTTTTTTTTATCACGATAGGACGATATCTCTGAAAAAGCATATCGTGGAGACCTAATATCGTCACGACGATATATATCGTCATATCGCCCACCCCTAGTCCAGACCCACTTTTGGAATCAAATTATGACGTCAGTGGGATTATCTCCTTTATCAACTCCTAAGCATCCCCGGGACAATATCACTAGCCCTGCCCCTAAAAAGGTGTGAACTTGAGCCAATCAAGGACTACTACTACTAGGTCGTCCTTAGACGAGTTTGCCAACGGGTTCGCCAATCCTCACGGTCCTCCATACACCCGGCCAGCTCTGTGGAGCTTTCCACCCCCGCATCCTTCCTCAGCACCTCCACGTATGTTGGCGTGGAGCGCCCTCTTGGTCGGTGCCCATGTGTTGGCTCCCAGAGTACTAACTTGCCAGCTGGAAGTTCCTGGTGTCGATGGCAGTGACCTGCAAATGTCAGTTTCCTGGATGCCACCTTGTCACTCAGCCTGGGTAGCCCACCAGGACTAGCCCCGCTCCTACATTTCACCAGTTTGTATATAGTTAAAATAAAGTTATCCGGTGATTGACGATCAGATACCAGTGTGGAGTTTTCTGTCTTAAATTTGATATAGATCATGTTCTTTGTTGGTTTGTGAGGATGTTCATACACACTTGGTAAGATGTGTGTGTGAAAGAAGACCACAAAAAACAGCAGTGACTGCTCTCAGCTGTTTAACACTTAAAGACCTAGACACCATCACCAGTTGTAGGTTGTCTGAAGTGCAGTGTTACTATGAAAATTCACTAGAATGCAGGAATTGAGAAAAAAAATCTCAACATTTTTCACGGGGGACGGTCTGGATGAGTCGTTCCGAGTCGTTCCCCCAAAGTATATTTCATTTCTGCGGGAATCACTGTAGGCCTATATTGAGCAGAGCATATTAAGACCAAAACTAATGTACAACAACTTCCTTAATTGCAATAAATAAGCACTAATTAGAGGGTTATTGAGGAAAATTAATGAATGGCGTACTAGTTGTAGAATATGGTCATGTACTGTAGAATAAGGCATTAATAAGTGTTGTATAATGACTAATAAAGAGCCAATATACTGCTAATATGCATGTTACAACTAGTTGATGGTTAATTTGTGTACCTTAGTATAAAGTGTTACCCTAAGTTCTATCATTTAACATTCATAAAGGGAACTGTCAGGCAACAAATTGACTTTGAAACAGTCGCAATGTGATCTCAACTTCTGACTCTGGTCAGCACTGAGGCTGAAAATGTTGATGTATGAGAGAGTTGGTTCTGGACCCAAAACATATTATTGAACACACAGTTCCTGTTTGTAATTGGTTTATTGTTTTGTGTTTGCAGGGAGACTATGCAGCTGCCAGGATGTATTACCAGCGGGCCCTGCTGCTCAGCCCCGGCTCCAAACTCCTGAAGGAAAACCTGGCCAAGCTGGACCGGCTTGAGAGGAAAGTGACAGGGGGGTCGTAGATTACCACAGTTCCCCACATGCAACCATCCTGGGCTCAAATCAGCGGAGAGGGCCCAGCAAGCCCTCTGGAGTCCAGACACCAGCTACAGGCTGGTTAAAAAGACAACAGGCCTGAAAGCAGAGGAGCAGAGGACTCTTCAGGTGCTGCAGAGAGAGACAGAGGAGCCACAGTCAGGGAGCTTTCCTCGTGGGAGCAGAGGGGAACCACTGGCTGAAGACCACTGGAGCTCCATGTGATCTGCATCAGCTTTACTTCAAAAGCCACATCTGCTTGTGTGATTTATTATTTAGCTTTATGCAAAGGAATTTCCTTTATGGAACCTAATCACAGATTGAACCTCAGTCTGTGATTAGAACAAAGTAACTAAAAACAAGATGTAAAGATCTCAGATTATATGAAAAATTGAATAAGATTCATACCAGCTGCTTTCTTTTTAGACATGAACTGAACTAGGTTCAAATGACCTCTACTTCCAGAACAAGCTACAGGTTAGACCTGGTTAGGCATGTGTTGGTTATGGTTAAGGTTAGGATAAGTCTCCAGGAAATGTATGTAAGTCAATGTAATGTTCCCTGAAGTTGTGTGTGTGTGTGTGTGTGTGTGTGTGTGTGTGTGTGTGTGTGTGTGTGTGTGTGTGTGTGTGTGTGTGTGTGTGTGTGTGTGTGTGTGTGTGTGTGTGTGTGTGTGTGTGTGTGTGTGTGTGTGTGTGTGTGTGTGTGTGTGTGTGTGTGTGTGTGTGTGTGTGTGTGTGTGTGTGTGGTGTGTGTGTGTGTGTGTGTGTGTGTGTGTGTGTGTGTGTGTGTGTGTGTGTGTGTGTGTGTGTGTGTGTGTGTGTGTGTGGACTGTCACTCTGAACACTTCTCTTTGGTCGCTTTTTGTTGTTCTGTTGACAGTGGTTTTGATTGTAAATGGATTTTGTTGTTGAATGACTATAGGATGAAAATGAAGTGACAAGTGCAATGACTGACATGCACCAGGAAAATAAAGTGAATGTTACTGAATTACTGAATTTTTTTAGGCTCCACACACTCCACTAGACTCTACTTAGCAGGTTTTCCTAGTTTTCCCAGAACCTCCACCCTTCTCCCACATGAGGTTGGATCAGACCTTGGAAGCCGACAGTAACTCTTTCCACCTGATTACAATCCCAGATGTTAACATTGGCTCCAACTGAATCGCTACTTTTTTCAATTAGTTTTCCGTTACCTATTTGCTTTTTCCTGGTACCGGACCCTAGCCTGCTAGCCCGTTTGCTACAAGCCTCCAGCCGTTGGCCGTCAACAATCTCGTCAACTCCTTGCCGTCAGCTGGCCACTAACATTGGTCCGGAAAGCCCTAGTAGCCGTGACCGCTACCTCTACAGCTAGACAACCTCCAGTCACCGGGTGGCTACAGTACATGCTAACGCTAGCATTGGACCGTTCTCCTTCTTTTCTTCTCTTAGCCTTCATTCCACTGACTCCCGCAAAATCACTAATTGTCAACAGAAACTTCACTACTCACCCCAGCTTTCCTGCTGTCTGACATTAATCCTCTCAAGAGGTTTGTTGCATGCCCAGCGCCGTGGGAGGGCCAGGCCCTCCCATTTGACATTCCTGCCCTCCCCCAATAAACACGTTTATTATTATTTATAACATTTAAAAAATATTTAATTTGTTTTTAATTATAAATAAACTGTGAACTTTTATACTACGATGTATGTGATGTCAGATAGTAACTAAAAAAACAACAAATACATTCATGTGTCTGTTGTGATTTGTGATTCGTCCACATTTAGACCAATCACAGCGTCACACTCTGCCGCCTATTCTGGATTTGTTCATTGTTTATTGTGCATTCTGTGGACTCCCATTTCTGTTTGAATTACAAAATGGACATCAGAAATTGGCTTAAAAGGTCTAAGGATTTATTCAAACGAAATAGCGATGAAAGAACTGCGGCCGATGGCGCTGCTGGCGAGTCGCGACCCTGCACCTGCCGTTGCAGCAGCACGCCTTAATGTCACAAGCTTGACCTCGGCAAACCCCGGGGCTGAGTTAGCGAGCCCAATCCATGACTCATCAAGGCGGCCGCCACCAACGCTGTCCTCCGATCACCTGCGTTGCCACACCCTGTACCACACCCGCCAGCATCCTCCTCCTGCTCCGTGCCGGTGCCTACACTACTACACTACAGACGCTACCTTGCAGCACATCAACAGGTACTATTGGGCCAGCAACCGCTCAAAGACCAACAGCCCCAGATGATCTTGGGGTTAATAAACCCAACCAGGTGAAACTGAATCGTTATCAGGGAGATTGTTTGCAGGAAAGAAGCGCACTTTTGCCGCTGCATGGAACAACAACAGACCATGGCTTGAATATCCGTTAAAAGCAGCCTTTTGTTTCCCCTGTAGACAGTTTAAAGTGAATACGTCTTCATCTGATGCGGCTTTTACTGTCAAAGGTTTTTGCGACTGGAAACACGCATTACAGACTGATAAAGGACTGCAAAGGCATGCCGCATCAAAAGAATGTGAGAGTTTGTGGAGAGAGAGACAGATACGCGAGGAAACAAATAAGGAAATTAGTACTTTGGTGCAGATCAGCTGGCACAGAACCGTTATTACGTGTCAGCTGTCGTTGATATTTAGCTTGTTTAGCTGTCAATCAACTCCCTCTCAGAGGTGACCACGATTCACTCCACAGCATGTCCGAGTCAGGCAGTGGGCTCTTCCTATCGCTGTTTGAGTATACGCTGCACAAAGATGCAGAGTTGGCCAAAATAATGTTCTAAGTTAGCTCGGCTGAGCGAAAGGATGCACCTGCAGTGCATAGGAAAATAAACCATGCCCAAGGCGGGCTAAACAGTTCATCGTCTACGTCTCTACTATTTCTCTCTGAGTGCAGCGATGAGGAAGCTGCCATCCTTAACCAGTGTGCCTTGCTCGTGATTTACCAGTGTTTGTGCTGCCACGCACACAATGTTTCAAAAGTGGTTTCTATGTTGCCCTTTATTTGTGTATGTATTTACGATAAGTGTGCGTCTTTACGCAATGCTGTTGGCCTTGCTGTTTGATATATATCGTGCCGCAGGCCCGCAGCACATGACGGTTTTGTGTGCCCTCCCATGAAAATCATATGCCCTCCCTTGAGATTCGTTCTGGCGCCGGGTCTGGTTTGTTGTGAGCTGCATCCTTCCCGGCCGACATGACTCTGTCATACTCCATCGCGGAACTACTCCAGCAAAACACACATCCACTCCACCATGCCCGACGATGATCTCCGCCATCAGTGAACATGGACTGCTACAACGACCCAAATACATTCACCGAAGCTCCGGACGAAAGTTTGTTTACTCCCGGTCCAGTCATTCCATCTCATCCATCTGGTCTGCTGCGCGCACTGACACACCCCCTCCATTTCATCATCACAACAACCAACACGCGCACTTTGCCTGCCTACGCCCCCTTCCCAAAGCACCTCAGCCTGTTCAAACTCAACCTCATCTTAAACTTGCTCTGTTTAACACCCGGTCTCTAAACAACAAGGGTCTCATTCTCAATGAATTCATCACTGACAATAATCTGGACTTTCTCTGTATCACAGAAACTTGACAAAAACCACAGGAATACTTCTCCCTCAACCAGACAACACCCCCAGGATACACATATATTGAAAAACCACGCCACCATGGGCGTGGAGGTGGAATTGCCACAATTCTAAGAAATAATATAAAAACAATTGCAATAAACATCCCTTACCCCTCCTCATTTGAACACCTTGCATTTAAACTGTCTAGTCCAAAACCCCTGGTTACAGCAGTCATTTACCGTCCCCCCAAACCAAACCCTGTTTTCCCCTCGGATCTTGCTGAATTCCTCACACAACTCTGCTCCATCTCTCCAACCGTATTATTACATGGTGATTTCAATATTCATGTTGACTCAAACGACTCCAATACCGCTTCAGAACTCCTGGACATACTCAACTGTTTCAATATCACACAACATGTTGATTTTCCCACCCATAAAAAAGGTCACACACTGGACCTGATCTGCACCACTGACATCGCCATCAGCAACCTGACCACCTATGACCTCACCATCTCCGATCACCTGGCCCTCATCATGGACATCCTAACCCCAACCCCCCTCATCAAGCAGAAGCGCACCATTCAATTCCGGAATATCAAGTCCATACACCCCTCCTCCCTCTTCTCCCTACTGGCTGACACCATCCCTGACTCCACCGTCACCCAGAATGCTTCCCCTACTGACCTGGTCAACACCTACTACAACAATGCTCTCTCCTCCTGTCTCAACCAACTCGCTCCAATAAAAACCAAGTATGTCTCTTTCACTCACTCGGCCCCTGGTACACCGATCATCTCCGTTGCCTCAAAACGATAATAAGGTCGCCAGCTCGAAATACATGCTAAACGAACCGGTCTCACTATCCACAAAGACATGTATAGACTGCACCAACAGCAGTACAAAGATGCCCTCAACAGTGCACGCTCCTTCCACTACTCCTCTGTAATACAATCTGGCAGCAATAACCCAAAGTCCCTTTTTTCAACTATTAACAAGCTCCTCAACCCCATGGATAATATCTCCAACTCCTTCACCACCAAAGTGTGAATCCTTCCTCTCATTCCTCCAAAGCAAAATCGAAAATAACACACAGCAACATAGCCAACTCCTCAATCTCGTCCACCACCCATGCTTTTCCGGAACCTGCCTACCCTCCTCCTTCCAGGCACCCTTTTACAGCCTTGAGACAAATTACCTAACTGGACATAGTTGTCCAAGTCACCGGCATGAATACCTCAACTTCCATCCTGGACCCCATGCCCTCCACCCTTGTCAAGGCCTGCCTCCCCAACTCACTCATCTTATCACCACAGTCATTAACTCCTCTCTGTACATTGGACTCGTCCCCCCTGATCTGAAACTCGCTGCTGTCACTCCCATACTAAGAAAACCTGGTCTCAACTAGGGCTGCACGATATTGAAAAAAACTGATATTGCGGTTTTTTGTTCCCCTGCGATATATATTGCGGTTTTTTTTAACCTGTTAAGCAACAAGGTCCGGGCGGGTACTTTACTTTTTTTTCCCCGACACTGTGTCTCAGGGGATCTTAATATTTAAGAACCTATTAATGTGTTATACCAGATTAACGGAAATAATCTCAGCTAACTGACGATACAAACCATTTTTACCAAAACAAAACACAAGTCTCATAAGAAGCATCTAAATGACCCCTGAGCGAAAAATGCTAACGGACTTTGGCACAGAACTCAAGATAAAAGTACCCTTATTACTTATCGTAGCTGCACATACAATATATCCGATTAAAGCTGAGGTTCCACAGATTATTTAGGTATATAGTATCATCACTGAGTCATCCGAACTCGCGACAGGGGAAGCAAATACAGACATCACAACACGTACCTTTACGGAGCTTCTAGGGGAGATCGTCTAGCTGTCAATCTGATCAAAAGATGTGTTCAATGGCATTAAAACGAGAAAAAACGCGGCTGAATCGGTTAATCCATAGGGTTTTAACGTCTCTGTATAAAAAAAAAATTATTTCATTTATAATCCATAATTCCATTAGAGCAAAAGTTAGCTAC